AGTCATTGGCCTGGTATAAACTTTTTCAGTCATCAGCCCGGTATAAACTGCTTTAGTCATTGGCCTGGTATAAACTTTTTCAGTCATCAGCCCGGTATAAACTGCTTTAGTCATTGGCCTGGTATAAACTTGCAAAATAATTAAAATGGACAACTACGTCACTCTTACATAAGTCATGCATCAATACACTTAACTTGGTTGTCGCTTTGATGTTTACACGTTCTGTAGCGTGAATCTAGCGGTTGAACAGAAATGACTTCAACAAGGAGACGCGGACTGATAAACAACACTGAAAGATACGTGTATTCTGTCTCCGTATAAGAATCAATTTCTACAATCGATATCAAGAAATGAAATGCACTCTTATTGCACGTTATAATGACATATATTTTGTTGTATATGTTGCATACATTTAAGTTGTATGGGGGTGTTCTGCTTATTTAAGTGAACATATGTGGTACAGTTAACTTTCGGCCTGGCGCTACTGCCTTCACAGAGTATCTATTGAAAGCTTGCGTCCAATTAAACACTTAGGACCTCCTGATGCAGGAAGGTTATACTTTTTAAACAAATCGAGTAAAAATTATGTTTTCAGCACTTATGTTTTACTTACTCTTATGTGACCTTTATTTAATTTGTAAGTTTTTTTTTTTGCTAATTTTTATGGTTATTTTATTCATGCAACAAAAAACCAGAACAAAACCATTTGCTATGTATTAGAAAATGAAGAATCTTCAAGATAAATTTCCTCGTTTTAATTATTGTTTAACTAATGTTTTACGTAAGAAAATGCAACATTAAAATCAGGGGTTCGACTACCCGCGGGGTCACCGTAGATAATTCAATGAGGATTTACTCTAAAACAGACAAACAAACAGAAAAATAGAAACTTTAGCCTAGTTTGAAGTTAGTTTTAAAATATATTTATAAATTTACATTTTATAGATAGTATTTTGTTGACATATGGCATCAAATATGTAAATAGTAAAGCTCGTTTTTTTTAAGTGTTGACTTTAACGACCTGTGGTGACTCACCGATAAGCTTGAGCTCTTCTAAGGCAAAACTTCAGGGTTCGATCCATGCGATGGGCTCGGCACATATAGCATATTGTGTAATTTGTACTTAAGAACAAACAAGATCTTGTTTAGCCCAATTTTAAGAACAGAAATCTGAGACTTACAATTTAAGACTCGATTAAATTTTTGTATTTTGTTTGTTTGTAGTTCAGCACAAAGCTACACAGTGGGCTGTCTGTGCTCTGCCCACCGAGTATCGAAATTCGGTTTCTATTGTTGTAAGTCCGCAGATATACCGCTGTGCCACTGGGGACTACATTTTTTGTAAAATCTCATAATGTTGTACCAAAATTCTTAAATTTTAAATTCCCAATAGTTTAATTCAATTAAAGGAGAATTTTTTAATTAAATAAATGATAAGCTACCTATATCCTCAGAATGTCAATACGCATAAGGTTGTTCCTTATTAAAACACAACTTGATTAATGTGCAGAATAACAAAACACAAATTAAATTAGCTCTGAGACGACATCGAGCAAATAATCCATCCACTTATTACAGTGATAATGTTAGTTTTAATTATCTTGGTCCCGCGTTAGAAAGAAAAAAAGGTTTGGCTCGTTGGGTAAAAATCACCATACCTAATAAAAAAATAGCACTTTGAAGATTATCATTTTTAAATTTCTGAGCAGTTACTTCAGTTGTTATCTGAGCAGCCTTCTATGATCTAGAAGCACCAAATTCTTCAGTAACCTTTTTGACTTCTTTAATTAATAAGAATTCAATGTATAGGTTATTAAATTTTAGAACGGAAGGATTTCAGGTCTTAAAAAGTCATAGTAAAAACAAGACTATAGCGATAATACAGCCTTCATAAAGGAAACAGTTCAGTTGTATTGGATAAATCAGACGATACACATATATCCGTAGTTATTAAGAAAGAAGCAAATAACCGCGAAAAGATAAATCATGATCCCATTACAATTATAAAAATGTCTCAAAATATGATTAACATTTGAAGAAAATTTTAATAACAGATCATCAGTTGTTTATTAAGCAGGATGTTAACTTTAGACCAATAGTTTGAACACAGGTACTTACGACCATTCAAACGCAGAAACAAATTATTGAATACCTGGAAAAATAACTAATAACGAATATACTTCAGTAAACAACTCTGTAGATTCACGTGAATTAAGAAATTTAAAGTGTCATAGTTCAAAGTATCTTTTCCCCAACATCGCTCTAGAATAAATTATACTTCCAAGCGCTTATCTGGTACGTCATGATAGTTAAAACTGTGTTCAGTTTCCTAAACATGCGTTTTAAAAACTCCTCAGTTTCATTACCAGAAAATTGTATTTCCTTTCATCGTAGGTATGTCGACGATATTTATTGTTGCATTTAAAGCTTCTGAGCATGCGTCTCAATTTCCAGATTTTCTCAGTAGTAACCATGATAGTTTACGTTTTCCTCAGAAGGTCGTCAGTTGCTCTTTTTAGACATAGACTCGTTAATTCGTAAAACGGTCGTAAGTTTAAAAGGCATGTGTTTATCATAAAAACATCCTCAGATATTTTATTTTTAACATATTTAACACTAACTCGAGTTTAATACTAGACATGTCTTCTAAAATAGGTAAAATAACGACCTCTGACTCGAGAATGTATCTTTTATTGCTCAATATCTGGCATTACAGCTTCCCCAGGAACGCTTCATAACCTATAAGTACGCTCTAAGTTGAAAAAAAAGTCACCAGTTGATGGAACACAGTTCCTCGTGTCCTGAAGGAATGCATGTCACTAATAATATAAGCTGATATTTTGTAACTTATGTTTTTCACGTACGGATAAATAAAGAAAAAAACTACGTTTATCTTGCATCATAAAGGTGGAAAAATTTTAATAGAACCGTACAACAGTTCAAACTGTCACGTGCTACAGTCATTAAATAATAACGTAACAGAATACACATGACTATTCACCTGAATATCTATTAACGTTACATTTCTTTGTCATAACGCGTGGTTAATTTTTCAAAGCTTTATTTTTTTTCGTCAGTGATTTCAACAACTAATATACCAAAGAAGTGAAAATATTGAATATTGTGTTCAACTACACGAGAAAGGGATTTCAAAGGTTCTTTCGATCTCGTTCAAAGCTGTCGATTACTTCTCAGATGTAAGAACTATCACAATCACTGATCCTGGATGTCTAGTCAACAAATCATCTTGACAGAAGATGGTCTAAATATTTCCCAGGT